TATATATATATATATATATATATATACATATATATATCTAAATATTTATTGATAAATATGTATTATATATATATTTATATTATTTTTTATTTATTTATTATTGTTTTCCTTTTGCTAAGTCGAAAAAAATTGCTGTCAAATCAGTGAAAATTGGGCAATGTTTTTGACAGGTAGGCGTGGCAGATATACATATGTATGTATACATAATCAGCATATCAGTCATAGATTCATATCTCGTTCATTTGTAGAGCTAAACCCTCCAAATTTCTTATATGGATTCGTTTGTATTTCAATAAATTTTGATTTTTATTGCATTTTGGCTCCAAATGCCGTTACATCTGATTTGACCCAATTATAATAACCTTTTGCTGGCGCATATCCCAAAGATATGTATGTATATATATATATATATATATACAGTTATATGTATATATTTATATATATTTAGTTAAGTAAAACGTTTTTGTTAATGCGTATAATCGAAAATATGAAAAGCTCTCTCTCTCTCTCTCTCTCTCTCTCTCTCTTTCCCTTCTCTCTGTCTCTCTCTCTTTTTGGTTGTTCCTCTCTCGCTCTCTCTCTCTCTCTCTCTCTCGCTGACTGTGTGTATTGCCTAAATTAATTTCATGCTAAAAATAGCAACGCGTGTTTCTGCTTTTTTGGTCGGCATCGCTCTCAACGAATTTTCCCAATTTTCAACTCTCGAAAAAACTGTTCTGAAAATTTCTGAAAATATATTCGAAATTGTTGTAGTTGTTGTTGTTGTTGTTGTTGCCTGTTGCCTCGTGTTGTTATTTTTGAATAATTGTGCTGGCCAAATTTGGTCAAATTTGTTATAAACAAGCGAGCAGAGCATCAAAATTATGCCCCATTCCAAATGATGGACTAGCAGATACGCTGTAAAAGTGAAATTGGAATTTATCGAATAAACTTTCGCTACATCTTATAGATCTCATATAGGCTATGTGCTATCGAGTAGTTTTTGTTGGATAGTCGATAAATCGGTATTGGTTCTGTATATCTATGTAATGCGATTAACAGGAGGAACAATGAGAGTCGTTAGATCAACTATCGATACGAGTTTTGAATGCTTTAGTGTATAAGACATATAAGGAGATCTTATATATCGATAAGACAGAAAGATCTACAAACAGAACTCAGCTATATAGACTTGGTTGCATAACATCAAACTGAAATTGGGTATACAAAAAAGATTTCTAGATGGAATGTAGACCTGAGAAGAGGGCGGAGCAATACTTATCTGCCTGGATTCAGCTGCTTCCCATCAATAACAATATACCCACTTGTCTTAGATATTTTTCAATGGGCATCTAGGTATAGAAATGCCTAGACTCATGCGCGTGGGCGTCGCCCCTGGACTGTCCAAGTTTATTGTTGTTGCTATTGAAATTTCGAACAACAAAAAACACGACACAAAGGGAATTCAATTTATGATTTTTGTTTCTCTCTTAATATCTGGTTTATTTTTTTTTTTGCATGCAATTAAATTGCGGTCAAACGCTGCGTATACTTAATGAAATTTGCCTTTTTATTATGCCGTTGTGTGTGTCCCGCAAATGGTAATGCTGCATTATAAGAAATACTTACCTCGCCTCGCCCGGCTCACTCTTTTGTCTGTGTGCCCTACATGTTCTAAATGATCTAAAAAGAAATGAAATCTGCTCTTTCAATTAGCATAAGAATCGTATACGAAATTTTTGATGGCTGCGCTCCGAATGCTTAGCGAATGTCTTTGAAATTAACATAAATAAATAACAAAATAAAAAAAAGAAAAAAAAATACTTTAAGTAACTTTTTTTTTTTTTTTGGTTCGCTCGAATTCTCGACAAAAGTGAGGAAAGGTTCTTTGTTAAAGAACAAAACGAAGGGGCAGAAGAAGAGCAATGAGAAGCGCAACAATGTGCAAAACTTTCTTTGAACGCGACCCAGTTCGAGCCGGCAGAGCGCGTTTTGTTAGCTGCTCCAAATGTGAGCTGCGGACTCGGTCCGAAGTGAACGTCGCTATTTAATGTTGGCCCATAGACTCGCCTCTACAATGCGTATGCTCCATTTGCATAGTTTAGGTTTAGGTTTAAGGTTTTGTCCAAACTTGAATTGAAGTTTATCAAAAATTCCTAATGTGTTCGGATCTTTTGATAGATGTTAGATGGAAAGTTTAGCGAGCTACAGTTGGACATGCACTGCTACAGTTTGGGTGTGTTAAGTGAAGCCACGCCCACTGCTAGGCATTGGCAGAAAGTAATGCCAGCTCTATGTGAGCTTTTGACGTACTTTCGCAACAGTTTGAGCGACATTGCATTTGCTTACAGTTTGAGCAGCACCTATTTAGCTCTTTGGCGCGCTTTGTACAGGGTATTATGAGTGCATGTCTTGGGAATCTCCCAACATAGTTAGTCTCTCTCTCTCTCTCTCTTTCTCTCTTCCTGCTCAGCTTCTTCCTGAAAGATTTCTCAGCCACAGTTTTAAAGCCACTTGTGTGCTTTACAGTTTGAGAAGCGCTGGCTCTTGCTTTTTACAGCTGCTGGGCGTACTATTGTACAGGGTATTATGTGTCTCATACTACAATATTAAAAAATTTCCATTTCACTTAGTTTTTCTACAGTTTGAGCAGCACTTTTGCATAAATATTCAAGTAAAGATCAAGTATAGGGCATTACGTAGGTGTATTTAGTGCCGGAAGAGCGTCATTGACCTGTACACATTGCCATTAAGCAAAGCCACGCCCACTTATAGCTCTGCCTCTAGGCATATTCAATTATTTGACACTACAAGCTGGGCGGAACAGTTTGAAAAGCACTTTGCTGTACGTATTTAGCTTTTCCTTAAGTAAATCAACTCAAACTGCTCTAATAGTAAATGCAATTGATCATTATCGAAGACTAGTCGTAGCTCATGGAGCATCCTCAGTGTGCATAATCCTCACCATTTAAGGTTCTACGCTCACCTTAGTTACCTGGCCAATTGATTGAGTTCTCTCTCTCGCTCACTCTCCTGCTCATCTCGCCCGTTCATCGATTTCAGTTTCTTTGTTTTGCATGCGGCCATGCGGCGTATGCGCAATATGCGCATTACGCATACGCCCGGTATGCTGACGTTGGCTAGCAGCAATTAGACGGAAGCAAATCAATAGCCATGGCTAAGGACGATCTCTCTCTTCTTGTCTCCCTCGGCACCATCTTTGTCTCTAGCTGTCTGTCTGCCTCTTATCATACGGTTCGATCAGGGTCGATCTGGTGTTTTTTTTTTCCTCTCTTCTTTTTGCTGCTAAATAAATTTGGCTGGCGTTGCCGGCGCATGTGCTCATCGCCTTTATTTAGCCAAATAAACAGCTGGCGTTTCGCTTTTCTTGCCGTCGTCTGTGGGCGTCAGCGAACCAAATTTTCCGGTTGATAAACAAAAAAAAAAAGAAGAACGAAAAATGAAAAACGAAAAAAAAAAAAACAGCGAAAAGTTAAAGCAGCAAATCAATTGCCTTTGCTCATTTCAGGTGAAAACAACGCAGCAACAGCGCACCACCACCACCACCACCAACAACAACAACAACAACACACGAAAGACAACAACAACGTCCTCAGCACCAGTTACACGCACAACTTGTGACATCGAGGAAATTTGGGACGAGCAATTACTTAGGCAATTGGTAAGTCACACACAGCACCGCCCCCCCCCCTCTGCTCCCCTACCTCCACCAAGCTCTTACACTGTCATGCCGTTTCCTGCTTGCAGCTGGAGCAGGCGTCCACGTACGAGGAGCGTCGCAAGATCCGTGCACGTTTACGCGAACTTATGGCGGAACGCGAAGGTAAGTGCAGCAGCAGACGCTCGCTCTCTCTCCCTCTCTCTCTCTAGCTCTCTCACTCTAACCACAGCAAATGCCAAGCACTAACACACAAAAGTTTTTGGCAAAAAGAAAAACGATCAACAAATATATTCAATTATTTATTAAGTGGTTTCTCTCACTCTCTCTCTCTCTCACTCTCTCTCTTTGACTCCTCAACTCCCTCGTCTATCTAGCTTTCTGACTGCGATTCTGTATTTGTATCTTGTAGATATGCAAAACAGCGCATACTCGTAGCTAGCCTAGAGTAATTCCATTGAGAACAGTTCAGGTATTGCCAATGAATTCGTTTCGTCATCTCTCATCATGCCTCACTCATCTCTTCATCCAGTCTTATGTCTACTCATCATCATCAATACAGTTCTTGAAATGTTCTCGTTCTCGTTCTCGTTTCCCGTGTTATACTCTCTCTCTCTCTCTCTCTCAACACTTGTTCGTTGTTTCAATTTGTTCAGCTGTTTCACACTCGTTAAGCTCGTTTAATCGCTCAATGTTTTCTCGCCAATCCCAAGTGAACTCTCTGAGCGCTTACTCGCTACTCCTTAGCGACTATTCGTAGCTTCTACTCGCTGATTGCCTACGCCACACATTTACTCGCTATGGATAGTAAACATTTCGCAACGTTCTCTCGTCGCAAAAACTACTCGATATATCCAAGCTTACTCGTTGCTCTGCATCGCTCACTCGTCGCAACGATTCTCATTGTATTTGAGCTTTTATTCGCTTGCTCTCGTTACTCTTCAACGTTTACTCGTTGCATTTGAACTCGTTCAATGTCAACTCGATATATCCCAGATTATGCTTCAACGTATACTCGTTGCATTGTGCTCTCGTTGCATTTAAACTCGTTCAATGTCAAATCGATATATCCAAGATTATTCTTTAATACTTACTCGTTGCATTGTGCACTCGTTGCATTGTGCACTCGTTGCATTTGAAAGCGTTTCACGTTCAGGCGCACTCGTTACATTTTCCAGCCGAGCTCCCTCGCAGAACATTTACTCGTTACATTTCCAGCTTTCTACGTTCTGTCTCCGTCTCTGTCCGCTGAGCTCGTTCACTCGCCGAAAGCTTACTCGTCATCAATCGACTCGCTCAAAAAGCTCACTCGTCACAACGTTCACTCGTTGCTCACTCTTGCTGTCACGTGTCACTCGTCCAAGCGCATTTTGCTCGTTGTTTCTCGTTGTTTTTGTTCTCTTGTTGTTTGTTCTTGAACTTTTGTTGCCTTGTCTTCGCCCAGGTGCCCAGTTAAAGCCCTGAAATATGCTCCCAAAATTCCAATTTCTCTCTCTCTCTCTCTCTCTCGCTCACCTTCACAGATGAACGTGATCGAGTTCTGTTATCCAGTTTCGAACGCCTTGCTTATTGTGTCCCAGCCCAATCGTTGCCGTTACTCGTTGTGTTTTGATTCTTTAATGAATATACATAATCAATCTCTCTCTCTCTCTCTCTCTCTCTCTATTTATCTCTGCCTCTATCTCTTTCACACTCATGCACACACTGTTGATTTTCATACAAATATATTCGTATAAAACGCGCGCGCGCGAACCTTCGTAGAGGTAAAAAGTGTTAAGGCAGGCGGCGAGAATTCCGCGGCCAAAGAAGCTGAGGAAGAGAGCAGCGCCAGCGAATATGAGGAGATAATTGAGGAGGTAACTGACGACAGCAGCGACGAGGAGGAGAAGCCGGAGCAAGACAAGCTAGAGAAGGAGAAGGAAAAGGAAAAAGATAAGGAGAAAGAGAAGCAGAAGGAGCAGGAAAAGGAAAAGTCCACCAAGGAGCTTGAACAAAAGTTGGCCAAAGTTGAGCTCAGCAAGGAGCAAGTGGATGGGGCACAGGGTGAGTCCCTGCCAGAGCCACAGCAACAGAAACAGCCACAATCACAGCCACAATCACAGTCACAGTCTCAGTCACAGTCACAGTCACAGTCACAGTCAGCAGCTGGAGCAGCTATAGAAACATCGACAGGAAATAGTCATAGCGTTAGCGTTAGTAGGAAAACGATAAATAATACGAGTAGCCTTAGTAGCAGTAGCCAAAAGTTAGCACAGACCAAAGACACGACACAAGCGAACGATACGAAAGAGGAGCTGCAGCAGGCGGGCAGCATGAAACGGCTGAGTGTGCCGCCCAAGGAGGACTCGGGCACGGAGAGCGGCGAGGATTTGCGCCTGCTGGCGGCGGGACTGCGCGACACGCTGCAGCAGCGCAGCAGCAGCAGCGACGACGCGAACCGCGGCCTGCTCGACGAGGTCACCGATGCCCTCACCCGGCTCGAGTGCAGCCTGAAGCTGGGCCAGGAGCTGGCCGTCGACGGCAGCCAACGGCAGGCGCTGCTCGCGCTCATCGCCCGCCTGCAGAGCGGACTCAGTGCGCCCGAGAAGCTGCCCAAGAGCGATGCCAGCAGCGCGAACAGTGCCACGGACAACGGGGAGGGGCAGGCGGGGCTGGCGGGGCAGGCGGACGCGGAACAGCAGCAGGCGGCGGGCAGGCAGCGCTTCGCGAAGCGACGCCAGCGCAACAATCGGCACACGGTGGGCGTCAGCCGCGAGGAGCTGGCCGACGCCCGGCGCTACATGGAGGACATGCTGCTGCTGGAGCAGCAGCGGCCGCTGCCCGCCAGCAGCCAGCTGCCGCTGGAGCGCAACGCCAGCTCGAGCGCGATTGTCGGGGCGCCGAGCACGCAGCTCTACAGGCCCAATCAGTTTGTGCCCAAGCAGCAGCAGCAGCAGCAGCAGCAGCAGCAGTTGCTGAGGCCGGGCAATGCCAATGGCAATCGTCGTCCGCTCTCGGGCGACTATGCCGTTAGCTTTGCCAGCTATGCAGCCGCCGAGGCAGCCCAGCCGCGCTTCACCAGCAACAACAGCAGCAGCAGCAATGGCAACGGCAGCAGCAGCAACAAGAAACAGCTGATGAAGCGCGCCAATACCATCGATATACCCAAGCTGAAGATGAACTATGACGGGGACAGCGACTCGGAGCTGGAGCAGCAACAGCTGCAGCAGCAGCAGCAGCTGCCGGGCCTGAAGCGCGCCGTCCAGGTTAGCGTGAAGCGGCGCGTGCAGCACGTGGTGCCGCCGTTCGAGCCCAAGACCGAGAACGATCACAAGTTTCTGGCCTTCATCAACAAGCAGAGCCACCAGGGCGGCCTCGGCTGGGCGGGCGCGCGTTCCGTCTCCAACTGGACGCACAAGTTCGGCAACATCAAGCACACATTCGAGACGGGCGCGGCGGCAACGGCCACCAAAGGCAAGCCGCCGCAGCCGCCCAATCACCATCATCATCACCACCACCACCAACAGCAGCAACTGCAGCAGCAGCAGCAGCAGCAGCTGCAACTACAGCAGCAGCAACTGCAGCAACAACAGCTGCAGCAGCAGCAACAGCAGCAGCAACAGTTGCTGCTGGAGCGCCAGCGTCGGCAAGAGCTGGAACGGCAGCTGCGCCTGGAGCAGGAGGCGCGCTTTGAGCGTGAGCAGCGCGCGCGCATGGAGCGTGAATACTACGAGCAGCAGCAGCAGCGGCAACAGCTGGAGCGACAGCAGCAACTGGAGCGCCAGCGACTGCAGCAGGAGCAGCTGGAGCGGCAGCGGCGGCAGGAAATGGAGCTGCGCATGCAGCAGCAAAGAGAGCGTGAACGCGACCGAGAACGTGAGCAGCAGCAAGCAGCAGCAGCAGCAGCAGCAGCGGCAGCAGCTCAAGCAGCAACAATTGCTGCTGCAGCTGCTGCTGATACGCCCCTGAATCAGTTTATACACGCGCCCCAATCCGTCTTTAGGCCCATCGATCAGGGCCAGCCGCCAGCTGGGAATATCTACAAGCCCATAGCGCAGAAGCCGAACAGCTGGCAGCCGGCGGCAACAGTTGCTGCCAGCAAGAGCGCGCAGCAGCACTTGCAGCCGCGTCCCAGCTACAGCAACACGCCCTCGCCCGCCTCCACCTCGCCCATCGGGCTGCCCTGGCTGGCCAAGCCGCGCGTGGACAACAGCGACTTCAAGCGCAAGGCGCACCACTTCGAGGAGCGTTCGCTGCGCGATCAGCTCGAACAGCAGCAGCAGCAACAGCAGCAGCTGCAGCAACCACCGAGCGCCGTCTTTGTGCAGCGTCACAATTCGCTGCGTTCGAAGGCGCCGCCAGCAGCGCTGAGTGAATTCAAGAAGCGACCCTCGCTGCCCAACGCCATGCAGCCGGAGCTGGATCTGTATGCGAGTAGAAATCATGTTGCTGCTGCGGCACCAGCACCGCCTCCGCCCACAAACATCTCGTTTACGTATGCGGACTATGCGCCCGTGCGACGCACCGCCACCAATCTGGCCAATTATCGCAGCCAGCCGTGCCTGAGCAGCGCCATGGAGCCGCTGACGAATCCGCTGGCTGCACCGCTCGTGCTGACCAATGCGAATCCCACCTACTTGCCCACGCGCTTCGACTATGCCAGCCCCGTGGACAGCCCCACCAGCTGCCTGACGGCGCCCGCCATGACGGACAACACCGACGACGACCTCGACTTGGACTCGGATCACAATATGCACGAGTATCGTGCCGAGATCAAGGTGATGCGCAAGCCACGCAGCCAAACGGCCGTCACGGTGGCCGGACGACGCACCGCCCACGTCAGCGACGACGAGGTCTACGGCCGGAACTCGCGTGCGGCCAAATCTCTGCTCTACACAATGAAGCAGCTGGGCAGTGGACCGAATCCGAATCCGAATCCGAATGCGATTCCGGCTCAGAGTGTGAGTCAGCTGAAGCCAAGCGGCACGCGTGCACCGCTGCCGGTGCAGCCACTGAGTGCGCCCAGTTCGCCTAGCAAGCCCTCCGGCTGCCTCTCGCCGGACGGACGCCTCTACCAGGCACCGCTGGTCGAGCCACTGTTTCCACAGCTCAGCAGCTACGAGGCGAATCGCCAGCCGCAGTACGTCAAGGCAGCAGGAGCAGCAGCACCACCACCACCACCACTGGCGGCGCAGTCCAACTACATGGGCGAGACGCAATCGAGCTATGTGGTCACCTATCCGCTGGAGGACTCCGCCGATGAGCAGGAGTCGAGCGTGAGCTTAAGACGTTCCAGGCGCACCTCCGAGCATTCGACGGCCAGCAGCAACATATCGCTCACCTCGCCGCACACCAGCTGGACGGCGAATCCGATGCATGCACCACCAACACCACCGCCGCCCGTCGATCGCAGCACCAAGCCACAGTTGGCGCCGAAGCCACAGCAGCAGCAGCAGCAGCAACAGCAGCAGCAACAGCTGAAGCAGCAACAGCAGCAGCAACAGCAGCAGCAGCAGCAACAGCAGCAGCAGCAGCAACAGCTGAAGCAGCAACAGCAGCAGCAGCAACAACAGCAACAGCAACAGCAGCAACAACAGCAGCAGCAGCAACAGCTGAAGCAGCAACTGCAGCAGCAGCAGCCACAGGCTCGTCCACGTTTGAGTGTGCGCAGTCATACGATAAGCGAGTCCACCTATCAGAGCAGCACCACACACCAGCAACAGTTGCTGCGCGAACAGCAACAACTGCAGCAGCAACAGCAGCAGCAACAGTTGCTCGAGCTGCGACGCAAGAGCATGGGCAATGTGCTCGAGTACAAGTCGTCGGCGCCCGCGGATACGCCGGACATTGTGAAGTCGTCGCTGCCGAAGGAGAATGCGCCGCTGCTGAAGAAATTTGGGCCACCACAGCGGCACCACTATGTGCCCAACGCGTATCAGAGTCCGCAGCTGAACAAGCGCATGAGCAGCAGCACCAGCCACATCAGCCAGATCAGCAGCAGCAGCGGCAGCGGCACCACCGGCTACATGACAACCACGAAGCCAGTGATTGTGGAAACACCAGCGACACCGCAGCCGACAGCAGGAGTTGGAGCTGCCGCCGAGCCCGCGCCCGAGGATCAAATACCCCGGAATATTGTGTTCAACAATGTGAGCGCGTTCAGTTCGCTCAGCCGGCGCTCGCAGGAGGAGGAGTTCCAGCAGCAGCAGCAGTTCAATGGCGGTGGCTCGCGCATGAATCGGCTGAGCAAATGTGATTCGTGGCATCAGATATGCCAGCAACAGCAGCAGCAGCAACAGTTGCCGCCGTTGCCACAGCAACAGTTGCCGACATCGCCCGGCGAGCTGCGACGCACCAAATCCGGGCACTCGCTGTCCGTGCCAAAGCTGTACGAGGCGGGCATCAACAAGGAGCAGCTGGGCGAAAAGCAACGTACCGTTGCGGCCTATTTCTCCGGGCAGAAGTCGCCGCAGCTGGAGGAGCTGCGCACCACAGCAACCACATCGAGCAGCGTGCAACGTAAATCCGCCATCAATCGAACGAAAACAAGCGAAAAATTGTCAGCGGCTCGCAAATCGCTCAGCTCGTTAAATTCCAGCTCGAACGGTAATGTGTCCACCGCTGGAATGGGTCTGTCTCTCAGTCTGATGCGTGGTGGTGGTGCGGCGGTCTCAGCTGGTGCTGGTGGGCTCAGTCGTAGTGCCACAATGCCGCACATAGCGCATCTCAATTTGCTGGATGAGAGCAATGTGGAGGATGCGTTCGAGCAGCTGATTCTGGGCGCTTAATGCCAACGTTTGTCCAATGATCGATACGCTTATCGATAAGTCGATAACTTCCTTAGTTGACACACGCACAAACACACACACACACACAGAGACACAGACACAGACACACAGACAGCAGCCATTCCAGTTTGAGCCACCCAGCGAGACGCAACTGGACACAACAAACGATACACACACACACACACACACACACACACACATACAGAGACGCACATCGTAGGTCGGACTGTAACTGTACTGATTAACATTTATCGATAACTGTTCAATTTGAGCGTAGGCTTAGTCAAGCAAAACGTACCAGTCCAGCCCATTTCTAGTCATGTTTCAATTCCATTTCGTTTCCACATTTGCGACGAGTCTGTGGAGTTAGCTGGAGGGACCACAGCAGGGGTTTTTTTCTTTTGCTTTTCATCACACACACACGCACACGCACACACACACACGCACACGCACACCTACACACATAGTCAAAGCCCTTAGCCTAGATGCCCATCAAGTGAAAAACAAAATGTATCGATAACATATCGATATGAAATATACTTACGTGAAGCCGCACTACAATGCCGAAGACAGACTTCAAGCGTTACGATTTGTGAGTGAAAAATATGCAAACATCAACTGTACAGCGTTGCCAGCTTGTTGTTGTTGCTGTTGTTCCTTTTACCAGCGCGTTCCATGTACTACCATATATTGCTACATATCGCCCAGCCTAACTGCATATACATGAATATATCTATGTATATATATATATATATACATACATATATCATTTTTGCCTGCCCCCTTAGCCCAGCCCCCAAAGCATACACAACTGTACAAAAGTTATCTAGCGCTTTAAACGTTTTATTTCCGTTTCATTCCGTTACGTTTCGTTCCGTTGGCTGGTTGGTTACAAACAATATACATACACATACATACACACACACACACACACACATACACACACAAGAATCCCATGTTGTTCCTCCACTATCTCTCTCTCTCTCTCTCTCTCTCTCTCACTTAGTTCTCTTTCTGTATATATATTTTTATTCCCGTCCACCCACCTTCTATAGCGTTCTTATTTATCGTTTCATCCATCATAAATATATCTAAATATTTTGTTTAATGATTAGCTGCCCAGTTAGCTGTGCTGGCTCTAGATATATTTTTGTTCCATTCCATTTGTTTACTCGCATGTTGGTTCGTTTATTTGTATTTTGTATATAAAGAGTATATTTGCATGTTGTAGCTCCTAAGTTTATTGAGTTCTGCGATCGCTGCAACCACACAGCACCACCAGCAGCAGCAGTAGCCGCAGCACCACCAGCGACTCCACCATCAGACACCAACCACCAAATCGCCAACGGCCACGAATCATTTTCCGTTTTGTTTCTATTCGTTGTGTATAATTGTTGTTGTTTTTGATGGAACGCGCGGCATGGAACAGCCGATCGTGCGCGTGTTTCTTTGCTGCAAGAATTCTAATGCCAATTTTTGTTTTATTTTACTCTTCACATCGTCTGGCCGCTGACTAAAAAATTAAAAAAAAATATGTATTTGAAATTTTTGCTAATTTTCTACGTGTTTCGTTTCGTGTGTCGCATATATATTGTTGCCTGCTCTTAGACTAGTCAAGATACAAAAAATTGAAAATATTTTTAAATATGTAAAAAAAATCGTACATAAATAATATTATTAAACTAACACAATTTTTTCTCTTCAAACATTTTTTCAATAACTCTTTTTTTAAACTCACTTAATTGCTGTTGATTTGTATTTATTGTGTGTGCATGCCCATTGACTTATTGCTGTAATTATCTGTTCTTCTATTTCGCAACTTGCCTCTCAAACAAACACCTTTCGCCATGCAGCACAACACAAGCAACAAAGCTCAACGACCAGCGAACGCACCGAGACAAAATCAAAAGATGGCGGCGCAATTGTCACCACAACAACAACAAAAGGTAATTCCATAGCCGATATATCGATAGCATACCAAACATATACTAAAATTGCCCAAAAAAAACCCAACTTTCAGTTACCACACGCACTGTGAGCGGCAGCGCTGCCAACAACAAGAACATCTCGCCGCTGGCCAAATTCAAGCAGCTCGATAAAGCTGCCCAGCAGCAGCAGGCTCAAAAGTAAGTTAAAAATTTCAATTATTGAATATTTTACAAAATAATAACACATTTTATATTTATATAAACATGAACCAATTGTAAAAGATATGCAAACGTCAAAATGTTAAAGCAAATTTATGGAGTCGTTTGGCCACATTGCGTTCGAACTCGAATGTTAATCTAACATTTTGCTTGCATATCTTTTGCACACACACATACATACATACTTAGATGGTGAAGGATCACAATAGAGACACACACAGAGTCAAACACGCACACGCACACACACTCGTATTCACTCACTCACTAATTTCGCCTTATATATTTATGCCCATTTTCTGGTGATGGTTAACGGCATTTAAATGTCACTTGTGTCTAGGTTTACTTTTGTAGGTGAATTGTAAATTGTTGCTACAGCATGTACATGCATATGTATTTATGTATGTATGTGTATGTATGTTGTTCTGTCTTGCTATAGCCTATTGGGCTTGCGCTCGCAGCACCTTACTTCGATTGTCTCTGTCTCTTTTGCTCCCTTTCTCTATCTCTCTCCCACCTTTTCTCTCTCTTACTCTTCGTCTGTTCAGCCACCTTATACACCTGTTGTAGCTCCAAATACACACACACACACTCACATTTATTTATATATGTATACACACAGTAAAGTACCGTTGTGTAGTAATAACATTAATATTAATAATTTGTGTTTCCTGCTAACCGCAAAGTCCTATCCAACACATGCACACACACACACACACACACGCACATTGACACATACACTCACGAGCTAAACACTTCGAACACCCCCTCAAAACAAAAAACCAAAGTACAAAGAAAAAGTTAAGATACAAACAATTATAAACAAATTGTGTGAGTTTCGCTAAAACGTCTGCCCCCTTCTCCAACCTTGACTCATTTGTTCAGATCATCTCCAACAACAAGCACACCCACGACCCCAGGCGGTTCAGCACAACCGTATTTCAAATTTACCGATCCGGCATTAAATGCGCGCGCCGCCACTGTCAAGGATCAACTTCTGCAGTGGTGTCAGCACAAAACGCAGGAATATGAGGTATCCAAAACCTAAAAAAAAAAAACAACCACAAAAACAAATTAAATTTAATAAAAAAAAAAAATACCAATAAGATAAAACCAGCCAAACGCAAACGCAAAGCCACAGCCATTAAAATAGCTCGTTATTTTTGTTACCTTTTCTTATTATTTTTTTTTTTTTTGCATCTTGATTTACTTGATATTTTTGTTGTTTTTGTATTTGTTATTTACCGCCGTTCGTTTTCATTTAGATATATATTGCAAATAATGTTAACACAAAAACGCTAATCGCTAAATCAAATAACCTAAAAAAATACCAAATACAAATAATATGAAAAAAAACTAGATACAAGAAAAGCGCAAATACAAAAACTTAACAATGCTTGAACGCTGGCTGAGCTGCTGAGCGCCACTCATCTATGATACACACGCATACACACATACACACAAAACACATATACACACACACACACGAGTACATACAGCAGCGGTAAACTTCGCCGTCGCCGCCGGCTTGGCGAATATGAAGTGAAAGAGGACGCAGCGTTCAAAAAGCAGAGGCGCAACTCTTAACTCCTTGACATTAAAGTAACTGTAAACGTTACTACCGTTACTACCTGCTTATATTATAATTATTATTCTTATTCTTATTATTATTTAACTTAATTGTTGCTGTTGTTGTTGTCGTTGTCGTTGCTGCTTTTTGGGGCTGGAGCTTACAACAACTATTTGCTTAATTGCTGCTGCTGCTGCTGCTGATAATAATAATAATAATAAAACATAAATATTAAAGTTTAAAGCTGCTCTGCCTGCTCTAGCTAAAAATGAAGTTAAATATCTCGCATACTGATCGTAATTGACATTTATTATTCACAGAACGTCCAAATAAGCAACTTTAGCTCGAGCTGGTCCGACGGCTTGGCCTTTTGTGCGCTGATACATCATTTCTTGCCAGATGCATTTGACTACAGTCAACTAACCAAACAAACTCGCAAACACAACTTTGAGCTGGCCTTTAGCGTGGCTGAGTAAGTATCCACAGATGCCCTGCAGCAGCTTCGAGCTTCTGTTAATTGTTATCGATATATGTATGTATATCTATCTCTGGGCATCTCTGTTACAGCGAAAAAGCTGGCATTGCTCCTCTGCTAGATGTGGAAGATATGGTTCAGATGAGTCGACCCGACTGGAAATGTGTCTTTGTTTATGTGCAGAGCATCTATCGTCGTTTTCGCAATTGCCAGTAAAACCAACAAGCAACAACAATAGCAGCAGCCGCAGCAGCAGCAGCAACAGCAACAACAGCAGCTAAAGGGCAAACCAACTATTCATTAAATTTAAGCCACAATTTAACCCAAAAGCAAAAGCAAATGCAAATTTGATTATTGTAAACAACATTTAATTGACATTTCGCACCCTATATACATATAATAACAGGAATACCCCTATATATACATATATACTAACACAAATGGCAGGCTCGTCGCATTGAACAGCAGCAAAAGGACATTTGTACGTTTTTTGTGTTTTTTTTTCTTTTTATTTGATCTTTTTTTTTTCCATTGAATTTTTGATTACTATTATTATTATTATAATTATTATTATTATTTGTTATTGAAAACAAAACTTATGCAATAATTGTTGAATTTTTTGTCATAATATTAATTATATAAAGAAAGAGGAGAAAGAAGAAAAATATTATGGATACTAACACCCGCTGAACAATACGAGAAAATTTGCAAAAATTTTGAAAACATTTTTTTTTATATATATATATATATATACATATATACTACGACCCAAACCTTGGGTGATCGTGGACACTTTACGAACTATTTACTAACTCGCAACAGCGGCAAGCGATATCAGCGTAAACATATAATTTAAACATAAACTGTATCTACAGCTAATATTAACATTGAACAACAACAACAAAAAGAACAAGAATAAACAACAAAAAAAGAAATTTTCGAATGTGTGTTTTATTTTGTGAGGATGATCGAAGAAAGAACGAAACGGTGTCAAGGGAGAGAATGAGAAAATGAAAGTGGGAAGGATGGGCAGTGAAGATAAGTAACAGCGGCTACAAACGGAAATAAGCAGATGCATAGTCTGACAGCCGCTTGGCTCCTTGGCATACCAGGTAATCCAAGCAGTCCCAACATGAGTAATTCCTGAGGTTATGATCCAAGCATACAGTCTTTTGAGGTTATGATGGCTCAAGTGAGGTTAAGCGAAACAATTTTAACTGTTAATTGTGCTTAAACGAAGAGAATAATGACTTATTCGAAAATTAAAGTAATCTTTGTGTGATTAAATAATATGCTTACTTGGAGATGTTGAAGGAAAAAAGCTCCGTAACTTGTGAGCTTTGTGGTAAGCCATTGATGATTGATTGACTCGATGAGTAAGTATATATTCATAAATAGTGCGATTATGGTGAGAAGCATAGCTGATTAGTGAGGTTATGTTGAATAATAAAAATTATTATTGAAGTTATGGTGATTAATATAAGTACTGTGTGAGGTTATGGCAAATAATAAGCGTAATTATTAATGATTGCGTAAAATGCATGCGGAATTATTGAGCTTTTGGCAAATTATTGAGGTTATGATTATGCATATGTCAAATTATTTGATAAAAAATAAGAGAAAACGTATGGAATATATGTTGAAGAAACCACATAGTTTGTATTTTGTGCCTAATAAAATAGAACTTCAGATTTGATAGCAATATCATTAGATATATGATTAAATTTACAATCAAAATTTGAGATAGGCTCGAATAGAAATCTATGACAATCTGAGTTAATGCCATTCACAACAGGTAATGGATGTAGACAGAGTTGGCCTGCAGTTGGCTGTCAGATTGAATTTATGGGCGAAGGCTGTCGAATTGAGGCTCAGACATGCTGTGAAGGTCGAGCGTTAAGTTTTGTGTAAAATGTCCAAACAAAATTACGTGTGAAATTCGTGCATCAAAATTTAGTTCGTTACTCGCACATAAAGTCTTTACATAAACCCACACCAAACCCACACAACAAACGCGATTGCCTAACCCCAGCCAGGGTAACTGCAGAGGGCAGCGGTGTCTGTTGCGCATTGATTGACGGGGGGCCAGAGACGAAATGTCACAGCAGCACGAGGAGCAGCAGCAGCAGGAGCAGCCCGAGCAGCCTCAGCAGCAGCCACCGCTATCGGAGGCAACTGCTTTACGGCTATTGAATAGCGTTGTGGCTAACGCCGCCACGCCCCAAGCGTTGAGCATGCCCTCGATTGAGACGGGGCCATCGGGAGCCGTTGAGAGTGACGGCGCTGCCAGCTGCTCAGCGGGGGGCGGTGGTGGTGGTGGTGGTGTTGAAGGAGTTGACGGTGGCGGTGGCGGTAGCGGTAGCGGTAGCGACGGTGGTGCCGGGACCACGCAGCTGGGGCTCGTGCTGCCGGCGGGATCGGGGCCGGGTACGGCGAACCAGGAGAGCGTCCATTCGGCAAATGAATTTGGCAATTCGTGTCGGATCTGTCGCTGGCATCGAAGCGACATGGAGATTATCAATTGTCCATGCAAATGCAAAGGCAGCGTGGTAAGTTGACTGTCTGAAATAGATAGAGAGAGTGAGAGAGAGAGGGGGAGATGAAAAGCGATAAGAGGAAAGCTGAGAGAAGGGAGGGAAATTGAGTCAGAATATGGTACGAGGGCAGCGAAGCTAGCGAGGTTAGACGGAAAAGTACGAAGATTCCCATCTGAATTAGAAGAGGAAATTTAAGACAGCAGGGAAGCTCAAGTAAAGAGAAGAGAAAGGGGAAGTAGAAATGCTAAAGATGACAGAGAGCTACGAACGAGAGAAATGAGAGAGAGAGAGAGCAATGACGGGTAAGGCAAGGACAGTAAGCTCACGAAGGAGGAGCACAGAGTAGGTGTGAGATAATATTAGCGAATGGAGTGTAGGGAATGGAGAGAGGGATATAAATGTGGTTACTAATTGTATAAGATGTATAAGAATAATGGAAAATTAGAAAAAGAGGGGGAAAGTAAGGAGAAATGAGAGGTAAAGACATGTAGGAATATAGAATTTTAGTTGCTTGAAATTACATTACATTGTTACATTGTTTAACCTACTACCTCACCGTCCTTTGTAACCAGGGCTACATACATTTGAAGTGCTTGAAACGCTGGATCATGCATCGTCGCGATAATCGATGCGAGATCTGTCATGCGCCATACAATATAACTGCGGAGCGGGCGAGCCTAAAGCAAATGATACGCGCATTCTGCTGCGGTCGCTGCTGTGGCATGATTGTAAAGCACGTGCTGTTCAGTGCCTCGCTAATGCCGCTCGCCCATGTCATACTGCAGCAGGTGAGCGAGTGCAGACAATGGCATCTAATTGGACGCCAATTGGTTGTGGGAACGATCGAGGCTTACCTGCGATTCTTTACTTGTGTACAGGTGCTACATTGCATGGATAATTTGAATCAGGGCAGCACCGAGCAGCTAACGGTACAGGAGGTGTTTGTCGCATCCTGTGCACTGCTCACATCCAGCGCCCTATTCTTTCATTTCTTTGAATTCGTGACGACTCGCTTTCTGCTCATTCGCAACATATTGCGCCATTGGTGGATGTTTGGCAGCACCAACGACTTTGGGATCGTTGAGGTTGAAGACGATTCATTTGACCTGTTCTGAGATAACCAAACCGCAAGCGGACAATGCGGCAATCAGGCAATCGCAGGCAGGCCGGAGAGAGTCAAACGCCTAATATTTGGAATGCACAAATTAAACAAAATACATACATACATAGATGGAGAGATTGCCTATCGAAAACGATTAGGCTGTTTCAATTAATTCTACTCCTTCAGTATATCCGAATTATTTAGCAGCAATATCCAAATTATGAAGTTTATCAATAAAACATGAGACTGGCATTACAGCTTAAATTCCAAAACTATACAAAAAAAAAAAAAACAAATTGCATTTCTATCGAAAGTTGTATTCGAAATTCGATTTAAATCCCACCGTTATCATGCTGTTAACGCAAAACTGCGCATGTTAACGCATGAAATCGAGCCTGTTATTGTTTGGCCGCGTGATGTTAGCAAAATGTATCGATAAGTTGGCAGTTTTGGTAAGTTGGCGATTGGTGATGTCGCTGCTCTCATCCTCCAGCCAAATATTAAAATTTTTTTGTATATTTTGGCATAAAATCGAAGCATAAAATAAGAAGTTCAATTGAGTAGCTGCGAACGGTTCATGCAGTATATCAAACGAGCAGTAAGACGTGCGAATATTTGGCACATGCAGAAGACGCAGTTAAATGCACATAATATTGTGTAAGTGCACAAATATTGAAAAACAAGAAATCAAATCAAATTCAGCAAGTTTTTTGGGCTTGCTGGCGCTGTGCGTGTACGTACGTGCGTGTTCGATTGTGTGCATGTGCGTGTGTCTGTATATGAGTAAGAGTGTGAGTGTGTAACAAAGAGCAACTCGTCTCAGCAGCACCAGCAGCAGCAGCAGTAGTGAAATTGCCCGCTGGGCAACAACACAAATAAAAAAAAAGGAAAAGGAAAAACGAAGAACGTCTCATAGAAAGTGAAGTTAGCGCAAGTGACAGTTGCTGTTATTTTGTTTTTGTTTTGTAACTTTGACTGTTGTTGTTTTTGTTCTGTTAATGTTAACATTGCAAGCCATTCACAGTTACATACACATATTTTCGCTCTCGACGGGCCATGTGGGCCAAAAACATAATATGTTTAATTAAATTTCTTGTTAATGAAAATTTTATATATTTTTGCGCGCGTTTCGTATAGGTCCAACACCTCGCTACAACCCGCGTTTTTTTTGTTTTTGTTTTTGTTTGTGTTATTGTAAGCTTTTGTACTACTATAAATTAAAGTGAACCACATAAACAAACGGAGTAGCAATATCAAGTTACAAGTAGAAAAAAAAAACGTAAAAACAAACACATACACACACATACACACCCACAAGCACACACTCCGAAGACATCATATTAACAAAGACAAACAAGAGGAAACAGAATCAAGCAAAATGGCCTCCGGCCAGAGCAACAACAACAGTCCCGACCCCCTGTACGATCTGTCATTGATGGCCGTTGTCAACCGCCTGGACTGTAAAGTGCCGACGCTGGAGCGCATCAGCAAGCTGCCAGAGCTACCGGACAATCTGCTGATCGATGTTTACGAGCTGGTAAGTTCTTTCGCATGTTATCGTTGGCGAGTTCTGAAAAAAAAGAAATGAAAAAATGCAGCAAGGCAAAGGAAAACGTAGTGGCAGAGCCAGAGGCTGTAAGCAAGCGAATGAGAAAATCAGCTGTGACACACACAGGCACACACACTGATTCATATCTATTTGCCCTTGTGCGCGTGCGAGCAATGACTATTGCGGCGCTGTTACGGCATTTTTGCGCTTCTATTGTAAAGCTAATTCGCAGCAGGACCGTACGAATTGTATGACAATATCTCACTCTGTTTTGTTTACAGTTAGCTGACATGCATTTGCTGTACGTAAACACAAGCGCGCGCGCACACACGCACGCACACATTTGTGTGTATTTCTGCATAATGGCAGTAGGACAACAAATGACGCATTTTGTTTTTGTTTTGGTTTACAGTTGGCGGAAGCTGATTTGTTTGAATTAAACAAACGCATACGCAGCACGCGTACACATGCAGGAAAAGCTCGTGCGAAACGTAAAGCTCTCCACTGTTTATGTTTACCTATAGAAGCTTCTGGTCTAATAGTGCGCACAGCTGGCTGTGTGCGTGTATGTGCGTGTGCTTGTATTTAAATGTCAAAAACCACATGGCAGCAGATATCATTGACGTAGGTGTGCGATATGATATCTTTAATAACTTCTATTTATACGCTATATCTCAATCTAAACAACATTATGCCCAGCGTTAGGGCATGCAAACTTCGCCATTGCCCACATGCCTCTCAAGAAACTCACGCACACAGACGTCAATTCTTAAATGAGAAATTGCCTTTCATAAGAGAGCTCTGCAATTACAATATAAATTATGAGTAGCGACATCAACAACAACAACAACCTCAATAATCAACTGATGCTGCTGCTGTTGTTGTTGTTGTTATTATTGTTGACTAAAAATAGCGCATTCGCTTTGTCGGTGTGGCCTTTCGTCGAACGTTCATCCTTCCAAGCCAAGGCGGCAGCCATTGAACTCGGCTCAAAGATCTTACTCCAATCATTGGATCTGAGGCCAGTGTTGCGTAATGCCTTAGTTGTTCATATTATTGGTTAACCATCAAGACACGTGTGCTTAATTGAAGACGGCCTATTCTATATACATACATATTATATATATGTATGTGTATGTGCGTGTGTGTGTGTGTGTGTGTAGGTGCTAATTATACTCTGCCTTCTAGACAGCATTCGCTCACTGTTTTACCACACTGGCGGATGCTCCACTAATTGATTGTTTTGATCAACAGCGAGCTCCACAAAATCAATATGTTGACACGAATTCCATTCCACGCTTTGGCCAAATTTCTAGGTATTCTCTATCGAACTTTACGTTTACTACTCCATTGCTGTGCCTCTTTAATCGTTGTTGACAAAGTTCTGTTTGTTGGTTTTTTCCATGATCATGATAGAGCCAGTGTTCAGCAGCTGTTGAATGGGAAGCTTTTTTTTTTTTGTTTTGCAGATAACAGCAAATAAAAAAGTTTATGAAATATGAAACTGTTTATTCCGCTATTATATAGAGCTGTTTATAATGGTTCTCAATTTACGAAGAAAGTGTTGGGCTTGAGGTAGGACCTATAAAAGGCCTACATTCAAGACTTTGCGAGATTAATTTGGGGCAAGAGCTTTAAGTAAGCTATGGATAGATTCTTGGGCTATAACTTATGCGAACAGAGCTTTGAGCTTATCAAGAAGCTCTTCTTAATCATAGTAGGAATTTGATCTAATTCAACTCAACTTATTTGTCTTGTAGATGTCCCAGCAAGCTGACCTTAAGGACACACTATTGGAAGAGCTGTCTCATCTAGATATATTCCGTCGTCTGGTCCGCTACACATCGGCCCGCGGCAAGCTGCTGCGCATTGTGGCAGCTCTGATGGCCAGCAACAAGGCGCTGCCGCGACGCCTCAGCGATGCCTATGTGGGTCGCTTTGCGCCGCCCGATATGGGAACAGACGAGAGTGAATTGGCTGAAGCTAAACCAGCCGAAACGGGCACTGCTGCTCCAGCTACAGATGCAGCTGTAGGTGGAGCCGAAACCACTGCCACAATGGACGTAGTTGCTGTTGCAGCCAGTTGCCTGAATTGCATGACGCCTAAAGAGGATCAAGCAGTGGCCGAAGCCGGAGCCTTGACCATGGACGAATTGCCCGATGAGGATGTCGGGGCCATCGATTTGGGCCTGCGCTTGGGCAGCTTCCTCTCCGAGGCGGGCTGGATGCAGGAGAGCATTGCGGTGCTCTCCTGTCTCAACGAAAGACTGAAGAGAATGCAGACGTTTCAGGATGGCATAATCACGCGTCTCGATTGCCTGCAGCGGTAAGCGATGTCAACGCATGGGCAATACCAAAAACTTCGATTCATTCGATATATCCCGTCAACTCTTGCAGCCTGCTCTACGCAGAGTCTTCACATTGCAACTTCAAGCTCGCCCAGAAGACATACGCCGAGCTGATGGAGCTAAACGGCCTGCTGACTGACTCGGTGCCGGCGCCGCTAGTTGCGATGGCCTACACCCAAATCTCGTCCATGTACTTTGCGCGCAACGAGTACAACAACAGTCACATGTGGAGCGTGCAGGCCATGCGCCACTTGGAGGCCTCAGCGCCCACACGGTAAGTATATGCATGTCTGTGGAGAGTTGAACATGTGCCAGACTTACTTGAGCTAATTTCATTCAATCGCATTCGCTTCGCAGTGTGGCGATCGATGTGCTGCGACAGGCGGCCAAGGCGTGCGTGGTGAAGCGCGACTTTGCGCGGGCCAATTTGCTCATCTGTCAGGCGGTGCGGCGGGCTCGGTAAGTGAAACCGAATGAAATATGTCATGTCAATCGGCAGTATCTCTGTCTCGCTCGCTTTCACATCTCTCATGCGCTCTCTTTCGCCCTCGCAACAGTGAACACTTTGGCCCCAATCATCAGAAATACGGCGATGCACTGCTGGATTACGGTTTCTTTTTGCTGAATGTGGATTCGGTATTCCAATCGGTTAACATTTACAAGGAGGCGCTCGCCGTGCGCCGCGGCATCTTTGGCAACATGAACTTCCATGTGGCCATTGCCCATGAGGATCTGTCGTATGCCTACTATGTCCATGAGTATAGTACCGGTGACTTTAGCTGTGCCCAGGAGCACGTCGATGAGGCGGTTAAGATCATGAAGAATCTGGTGCCCAGCAATCACTTAATGCTGGCCTCAGCCAAGCGCGTGAAGGCGCTGCTGCTGGAGGAGATTGCATTGGACAAAATTGCCGACGGCATGGATGAGGAGGGTCTGCTGCTGCAATCGGAGGAGTTGCACAATTTCGCATTGCAATTGTCGCTGGAGGTGTTCGGCGAGGTGAATGTGCAGACGGCCAAGCACTATGGAAATCTGGGGCGGCTCTATCAAACAATGAATCGCTTCGAGGAGGCGGAGCGTATGCATCAAAAGGCGATCAGAATTAAGACGGATCTGCTCGGTCCGTATGACTACGAGGTGGGCCTATCCATTGGCCATCTTGCATCGCTCTACAATTATCAAATGAAGAAATTCCGTCAGGCTGAGGACTTATATTTGCGCAGCATCGACATAAGTGAGCATAACTGTTGTTGTTTCTCCTCGTCTCTTGCTCTAATGTTCGTTCCGTCAACAGGTTTGCGTTTGTTCGGACGCACCTATTCCGGGCTGGAGTATGACTATTTGGGCCTGTGCCATGTCTATGAGACCTTACACGAGTTTGAGAAGTATTTGCGATATGCTCACATTCTAGAAAACTGGCAGCAGCTGCGCGGTCAGAACATCACACAGAACGTAAGTGAAATTAATAATGATCACAATCAATCGGTCAACAATACTAATTGGCATTTTCCCCAGCAGTCCAGCTATCCGGCCATCGAGGTGGACTACACCATTGATCAGGTCAAGTCAAAGTTCTTCAGCATGAATATCAAGCGTGTGCCCACTCCGCCAGAGCCCAAGAATTGAGATTCAACTGGAAGATTAAGAAAACATAATGAGATGGATCAAAATATATATATGAGATTTGGGTCTTGGCTAGGTATTTGTGAAGCACGCGAAGAAGAGAAGAAGAAGAAATTTTAGTTTTCATTTAATTGGTATAAATTGAAGAAGAAAAGAAGTTGAAAAAGAAATTGAGAAAGAATCTAATTTTGCTTTTGTTAACTTTCTTTTGTGTTGCGACACCGAACTCAGGCAATGAAGCAATGGCCTTGAAATGAGATTCCTTTTAATTTTGATACACCCACACACACACACACAAACACACACACACACCTCGTCAAATTGGATGCTAAAACGAAAACGAAAATATTCATCCAATAATCGTTCATAATTTTAATTTTAAATACGAATAAATAATGTGATTGCTTAACAAATGCATATGTTTATATGTATACGTATAGACACATACATATATGTATATGTATGTGTGTATATTTGTATATATACTGATATGTATTGATTACTGATAATCAATGAATATATATATATGTTGTTCATTAAGTTTTTTTTTTAGAACTAGTTGCAAACGCAAAAGGTCTGTAGCACAATTTATGAATAAAATAGAGTGCTACGCATACATACTATATATATGTATATGTAAAGATAATGATGTATAAAGCATATAAATATAAATTGAATAGTTTAATGCATAATGTTTAATTTCGATTCGTTACATCGGATCTTTCGATATATACATGTATATGTAGAGTTGTATGTGAATAATGATAAATAGATATGAATACGTAAATAGTATTTGCATTATTCATCCAAAGTTATGCAAAAATTCCCTCCTTTTCCTCTCTAGCCAACCGCTCACCCATGCAGAAGTAAATATGCGGTGCGCACTCTAAGCTAGTTCGATGGATAATTCTCTATTCTTCTATAGCCGATATCCAGATCTTAATCTAATCTGTAATGTCCGTAGGAGCGGTTAGATATTCACTTAACTGTGTGATTCGTGAAGCGAAACTACATAAGTGCAGTTTATATATACAAACTACAACTAACGATACCTATGCCTAGTACTATATCTGCATCTGTGTATACACAGAGCTACTTATAATTACTAACTAATACGCCTAAACACTATTGTAGCCTACAACAATTTGACATTGGTATCGGCTCGAATGCCCGATATCAAAAAAATCTCAGAATAAAAATATATATAAACAAGTAAGAAGACTCTAGTCGATGCTGCTCGACTAGGAGATACCCTGAACCCTCCAAGCTGATATTCTTATCATTCTGCACTTCTATTATGCACGCACACATAAATACACATGCATCCACCCTCACGCGCCCGCGCTCTGCTAACTGCGCAGGAAGCAGCGACTGCGCTTGGGCTGCGCTGCAGTGTGGGCAATAGTATGAGAATTTA